ATTGTTGTCGTCGTCGCTCGGCTCGGCTTCGGCTTTGGTCAAATGATCGATTGATTGATTAACTTTTTGGGCCAAATTTATTTGTTAATAGTAAAATATTAACAGAAATGTTATTAAATATTTGTTTTAATAATAGAATATCAATATTAAATATTAATATTAAATCCAATCCGTTTTTCTATTTTGGTTACAAAAAATTAACTACCCTCTTCAATTTTTCCTCTTTATTGTTGAGTAAATAGCCATTTATGTAATGTCATTTATGTTGTGGCCGTTTTACAGAAACAACCATTTTGAAGAGTTGCACCTCTTTAGATTCAGCCAACTTTGTCTATAAATACAACACTATTCTGCTTAGAATTTGACTACGATTTTCTGAGTTTCTCCTCCTTCTGCTTACTTTTAGCATCAGACAAAGCAGTAGTAAGTGTGATTTGCTATCAAACTTTGTGTTCGCTGAAACACTGGGGTTTGAAGTACCACTACACCAGTGTGTAATTCGTTCTATCCTGGGAGAAAATAATCCATAACCTTGGGTACTAGGAGGGGATTAAATTCCTTAAGGAAACACTGTGAATTCAGTGGGTTCGAATTGGTTTTCTGTTATTTTGTTGTTCATTTATGTTTATGTTCATTTCTGTTTATGTTCATTTATATTTCCAGAATTATTTTACAAATACAGTTGACTAACAAATATAATGTTGCAAATGGATTGAAGGCTTTTGTTTTTTTTATAGGTGCGGGAATTCAAGAAATGCACATGGCCATGGGATTAAATAATTGTGAAGGCTGGGAGATCTGATCTCAAAGAAAAATCGTTTTCTTCTTTGTTTGGTGCTTGACTTTAACATAATTCAATTATCTAATTCAAGATCAATCTTTAACTTACTACTTTCTGACAAATTGATAAGATACTGAGAAAATGATGAGCATGTATAACGCATTAAACCATGCGCTTTAGTCGCTTGAACTCCCTCCGGTCCATTTTAATTTATTTTTTGGTTGTTTTTACACATATTAAGGAATTCATCTTTTAACATCAATTAACAATGATATTGACTATATTAACCTTAATTTGTTCATCGAAAAATACAACAAATACTCCTAGGCTCTTTCTTTCAACGAAAACTTTGAAAAAAAATTAATTCATTTTTGATATATGAAAAACTCAAATATTACGGATCACAAAAAAGAGAGACAAAAAATCAATTAAAGTGGAGAAAAAGGGAGTACGTCCTTTGCTTTACGGCATGTTACAAGTTTATGATTGGCAAATCGTTCAAGTACTTTATCCTCTAGCTTCATTTTACTAATAATATGTATATGATATTCTTTTTCCGTCAAAGTTACAACATTCAAAAGATCAAACTTTATATGGTCAACATTATTTATTGGAGTTACATGTTGATCCCTAGTCTGCGCACATGTGTACATATTCTACTTATTGATAATATTTTATTAAGGTTACGTCATACATTAGCTAGACATGAAGATTAAATGTGGTTAGCCTAGACAAGATGATCTGGATGCACCTTACATGATGTGTCAATCAACATCTCTAAACTTGTGATTAGGGGCTGCTGTGGACTCTAATCTTCCTTTTCCAGCTAACCCAAATTTTTTTGAAAACACACAAACACGCACAAAAAAAAAACAATGATCAGAATCTACTCCTGCCAAGATTATAACATAAAAGGAGAACTTACTATTCCAGAGGATACTAATCCAAAAATGCAATGTGCAAAAGAAAATTATAACAACACAAGTGCAATAGATGCATTTGATAGTCAAAGATAATTAACCGAGGGGCACTTCTGGCATTGTGTTTATCTACCACAAATTAATCAGTGTCTTCCATAGTTAAAAGAACTAGGACCGGAACCTTTGCTTTGAACTTTTTGTCCTTGATCCCAATCATCCCACCTAAATCCAGGGCAGAAAATCTAATAGCTGCCAAAAGACTACATTTCTACGGTAATAGTAAAAAGATTCGAATTTGATTGCTTTAAAATTGTATCTAATACCCTGTATATACTGTATACCCTAAAATCGGATAACAATTGAATTTATACGTGATAGTAGGCTATATAGTTGATATTTACACCTTAATATGACCATACTTTGTTGTTGTTTTATAGATAAATTGCTAACAAAATGTTCTAAATAGTGTTCTTTTGTTTAGCAGGGAATATTATGTGAGAGGAAGCAACATGGAGTGTTTTGAAGGCGATAATGTGAAGAAAAACGCTCACTCGAGAAGTACCCAAACACAAAGAAGCATAAATGGCATGGGCAAGAAGGCCACCGCGACCGCGGTGAATCACGGTAGATTAACAACATAAGGCAGAAAGGTCAGCATTCACCGCGGTCGACACGATTGGCCGCGACCGCGGTGCACTGTTCACGCTGATGGAAAGTTTGAGGATCAAAGTGTAAAATCGGGAAAACTTTTGTAAAACCCTTATATGCTTTAGAAACTCGCCCAAGATTAAGAAAAGCTGATTTTAGACCACTTTTGGAGGCAAGAACAAGAGTGAGAAGATCAACCAAAACATTAGAATTTTTCTATCTCATTTTAATTCTCGCAATTTTACATTATGAACAATTTAGTAGTTTTCTCTTATTTTGTTATGAGTAGCTAAATACTTATCTAGGGTTGATGGAACCAATTGTTGGTTGAAGTTTTGACTCAAGTTGTTATAATCGAGCCGGATTTATGATATGATTGTTCAACTACATTTTGTATGGTGATTAATTGAATGGGCCCTTGATTAATCGTGTCTAATTACCTTATATTGCTTGAGAAAGAATATTAGGTTAGATAGCTAATGAACAACACCACTTTTGGGTAATTAAAGAGATTCATTACTTGAACTTAAAAGTGGGTTTAGAGATAACAAAACTTTGGTGGGATAATTTAGAGTTGCATAACTATTGTCAGCTAGAGTAGTTCGAGAGAATCCTCTAGTAAATTATTGTAGTTGATTGATAGATAATTACGATAACTCATAACTCTTAATCCTCATAGAGTATTACGACGAGATTATAGCGGAAGAGTCAAGACCTAAACTAGCAATTGGGGAAATCACTGCCCTAGACCTTCTTACCATTGAATTATCTTTGTTTTAGCTTACTGTTGCTTTTAATAGTAGTTGAAGTAGTTAAACAAAAACCCAATCTTTATCGATCAAAAATCTTGCATCTAAAGATTGATTAAGTTGATAATAACATTGCCGTAGAGTGTAATAGATAGGTTAGTTCCCCGAGGATTCGATTCCGGACTTAAAATCGGATTATATTTGTAGCGACCGCTTTGTCCTTTAAAAGACATAGTTGGGCGTTGTCAAATTTTGGCGCCATTGTCAAGGAACTAACGGTGTTGTTTATTACAACTTAGAAGTAGTGTTAAAATTATTAGTTCAAATCAATTTTCAAAGGTGTTAAACAATTTTCATTGAAATTCTAACGTTTGAACTCTTGTGGAATTCAAGTGTATGATTAGAAATTCTTCGAGGAATGGAGAACTGCTTGAAGGACTTTCAGACTCCGAGAAAACATTCAGGGCACTGAAACGTGCCAATAAGAGGATCCAACAATCACAATAACTACACCAGTTTGAAATTGACATGGGTGACGTAGAGAACGTCAATGGAAACATCAGGGATGAGCCAGCTGACCCAAATGTCAGAGTGGTGGCACCTCTTGTGCCAGAAGCTGCACTTTATGATTGGGCTCAATCCACAGCTGACAACCTGGCAACTGGCATAACTGTGCCCGCAATTCAAGCGGAGACATTCTAGATCACCAACAACATGCTGCATCTGCTATAGAATAAAGGATTGTTCTCCGGGTCACACATTGAAGACCCTCAACAACATTTGAAAAACTTTCTGTCAATTTGTGTGACTCAAAGGTAGCCAAATATGACCCCAGAAGCTATCAAGCTATTATTGTTCCCGTTCTCTTTGATTGGGGAAGCTCGGACTTGGATGAATTCGCTACCAATCAATTCCATTGTCACTTGGGAGGAATTAGTAAAGCAGTTCCTGAATAAGTTCTACCCACCCAACAAGACTGCAAGGCAGGTTGATGAAATATTATAGTACAAGCAGCAGCCGACTGAGACCTTGAAAGAAACTTGGGAAAGATTTAAAGGGATGCTGGTGAAATGTCCTCACCATGGCATTCCAGACCAGATGCTTGGCCAGAGATTCTACATGGGGTTAGCTGACAATCTAAAGGCCAATGTGGATGCTTCAACTGGAGGTTTATTTTTGAGTAAGACATTCACCGAGTGCAAAGTCCTTCTTGACAAGATGTCCCAGAATTCGGGGTGGATGACTAGAGGTACAACACTGGCACCCATAGTGAATTCAGTTCCTCTTGACCCAAATAATTCGCATGCAAAGAACATGGCCACACTCATGAATCAGATGTGTATTTTGACAAAGAAGATAGATGAGATGGGTACCAAATAGGTGCATATTATTGACACGACAAATGGAGGACTATGTACACCTTGTGTTAATCAGTCTTATGTGTGTTCATGGAGCGGAGAAGGTGAAAATCAAGGGGCAAGGGAAGATATGAATTATGTTAACAACTTTGGGGGCCAGAGACAAGGAGGAAAGCAGTGGAGACCGGCACCAAATCAGCAATACAGACCCAACATGCCTTAGCCTGGGGGCATGCAAGCTCAAGGCCAAATAGTGCCATACCACCAGAGACAACAGGGCTACCCATAGCAGAACCAACAACAGTTGACATATCATCCACCTTCTCAGCAACAAGATAACAACATGGTAGAAATCAGGGGGATGCTCCAGTAACTCATTAGGACAAATGGTAAGATGCAAGAAAAGTTGCCAGTACATGATTCAGCTATAAAGAATATTGACACTCAGTTGGGGCAGTTGTCTATGGGTTTAAACAACCGCCCCCAGGGAACATTGCCAGCGGACACAAATATTAACCCCAAGGAGCAAAACCTGAATTAGCTGATGGCAGTAAGTCTCCAGAATGGGAGAGATTTAGGCAAAGAGCAGGAGGTTGCATAAGCCAGCAAAGAGACTACACCAACCACTCCAATTCCACTAGAGGTAGATGAATCATCAAATCTGACTGAACTGGTGGTTGAACAGGGTCAAGATGAAAAGGGTAAGGCTAAGGTAAAGGAACAAGCTGCAGAACAGGTGGTGCCTCTTGTGCCACAGAACCCCAACAGAGAGAAGCCAGCAAGCAGTGTACAAAGGGTGATACCTGCACCATTCCCTCAGAGACTGGTAAAACAAAGGAAGGAAGATCAATACAAGAAATTCATGGACATGCTGCATCAAATTCAGTTGAATATTCCTTTGATGGATGTCTTAAAGGAGATGCCAGGTTATGCGAAGATGATGAAATACCTAATGTCACGAAATTTTGATTTTCAGGACCTATCCACAGTGACTCTGACGCATACCTGCAGTGCAGTAGTGACCAGACCAATGGCTCAAAAGATGTCCGACCCAGGTAGCTTCACTATTCCATGCATGATTGGGAGTTATGCCTTTGCAAAGGCATTATGTGATTTGGGAGCCAGCATAAATTTGATGCCTCTAGCTGTATACACCAAACTGGGAATTGGCAGAGCTAGACCGACTTCGATGCTGCTGCAGTTGGCTGACTGCACGGTAAGAAGGACTACTGGGATTCTTGATGATGTGTTGGTGCAAGTGGGGAAGTTCGTGTTCCCTGTAGACTTTGTTATTTTGGACTGTAAGGTAGATGAGGAGATACCTATCATTTTAGGTAGGCCATTTTTGGCCACTGGGAGAGCACTGATCGATTGTGAGACTGGGGAATTAAAAATGAGACTGAACGATGAAGAAGATATATTCAATGTTCAACAATCTATGAGGAGACCCATTGAATATGCTAATTGCTCTCTAGTGGAGGTAGTGGATGTGATCCTGCAAGAAGATGATGTGACCCTGACTGCTAAAGATCCATTGGAGACATGTTTGACAAATTTAAAAGATATGGATGGTGAAGGATTAGCTGAGTGGGTCATGGCACTTGAAGGCCACGGATTCTGGAAAAGGGAACCTTAGTTCGAGTCCCTTGAGTTAGAAAAAAAGGCTACACCTCTAGCAAAGCCATCAGTAGAGGAACCACCCAAGCTGGAGCTGAAGTCGCTCCCAGCTCACCTCAGGTACGTTTTCTTAGGCCCTGATTCTATTTTGCCTGTTATTATATCATCTGGTTTGTTAGATGTGTAGGTAGAACAACTCTTACATGTACTGCAGGAAAGTAAGACTGCCATTGGCTGAACCATGGCAAACATAAAGGGTATCAGCCCAGCCTTCTGTATGCACAAGATTCTTTTAGAAGAAGGGCACAAACCTTCCAGAGAATATTAACGAATGCTGAACCCGAACATGAAAGAGGTAGTAAAGAAGGAAGTGATCAAATGGTTACATGCTGGAATCATCTTCCCCATATCTGATAGCAATTGGGTCAGCCTTGTCCAATGTGTGCCGAAAAAGGGGGGAATGACTGTTGTGCAAAATGAGAACAATGAGTTGATCTCAACTCGTACAGTCACAGGATGGCGGATTTGCATGGATTACCGAAAATTGAACACAACCACCCAGAAGGACCACTTCCCCTTGCCTTTCATTGACCAAATATTGGACATGTTGGCCGGGCGATCACACTTCTGTTTCTTGGATGGATATTCGGGGTACAATCAGATATCAATAGCCCCCGAAGATAGAGATAAAACATCCTTCACTTGTCCGTATGTCATCTTCGCCTTTCGGAGAATGCCTTTTGGGCTTTGCAATGCACCAGCGACATTTCAACGTTGCATGTTAGCCATTTTCATAGACATGGTGGAGGATATTATGGAGGTCTTTATGGATGATTTCTCTGTGGTGGGAGATTCATTCGAGGACTGTCTTTACAACTTAAGAAGTGTTCTCAAAAGATGTGTGGAGACAAATTTAGTGTTGAACTGGGAGAAGTGCTATTTTATGGTACATGAAGGGATAGTCCTAGGGCATCGAGTGTCCAATAAAGGAATTGAGGTCGACCATGGTAAGGTTGACATGATTGAAAAACTACCATCGCCCACTTCAGTCAAGGTGGTGAGAAGTTTCCTTGGGCACGCCGGGTTCTACAGGCGATTCATAAAAGATTTCTCTAAAATTGCTAACCCATTATGCAAACTCCTTGAAAAGTATCACCCCTTTGTGTTTTCTAATGATTTCAGGTTGGCATTTGAGGAGCTGAAAAAGAGATTAGTGACTGCACCCATCATTGTTGCACCCAACTGGGAGCAACCATTTGAGCTCATGTGTGATGCAAGTGACTATGCCATATGAGCAGTCTTGGGGCAACGAAAGGGTAAACTGATGCACCCGATTTATTATGCAAGCAGAACGCTAAGCGGTGCATAACTCAATTACACTGTGACGGAAAAGGAGATGTTGGTTGTTGTTTTTGCATTTCTCGAGACAAATTCAGGTCATACTTGATTGGCTCGAAAGTTATTGTTTACACTGACCATGCAACAGTTAGGTACCTGATAGAAAAGAAGGAGTCAAAGCTAGGCTTGATTCGCTGGGTTCTTCTGTTACAAGAATTCGATCTGGAAATACGTGACCGAAAAGGGACAGAGAACTAAGTAGCTGACCACCTCTCAAGGTTGGAAGGAGCTGAAAAGAAGGTAGAGGTTGAGGATATAACAGAGACATTCCCAGATGAACAATTACTGGCAATGACCATGGAGGAGACACCTTGGTATGCTGATATTGCTAATTATTTAGCAAGTGGTGTTGTACCTTATGAACTCTCCTAAATTCATAAGAAAAAGTTCTTTCGTGATTATCGGTATTATTATTGGGATGAACCTCTATTGTTTAAAATATGTGTAGATAACATGATCCGGTGGTGTATCCCCGAGAAAGATCAACATTCTGTTTTATAGGCTTGCCATGCTTCACCATATGGTGGACACTTTGGAGGAATTCGGACAGCAGCTAAGGTGTTGGAGTCAGGCTTGTACTGGCCTACTCTGTTCAAGGATGCCCATGCTTGGGTTAAAAACTACGATGATTGCCAAAGGACTGGCAACATATCTCATAGACACGAGAAGCCAATGACCACAATTCAAGTGGTGGAGATTTTTGACATGTGGGGGATTGACTTCATGGGGCCATTCGTCATCTCGTATGGTAACAAGTACATATTGGTAGCAGCTGACTATGTCTCCAAGTGGGTCAAAGCAGTGGCTCTTCCGACCAATGATGCTAAAGGGGTACTAGACTTTCTAAAGAAGAACATTTTCACATGTTTTGGTACCCCAAGAACTATATTCAGTGATGGAGGAACCCATTTTTGAAATAGAGCTTTCGCACGGCTGTTGGAAAAATATGGAGTTCGTCATAAAGTGACCACCCCGTACCACCCACAATCGAGGGGGCAAGTTGAAATGCCCAACAGAGAGATTAAAAGTGTCCTCACAAAAACAGTGAATGCAACAAGGACTGACTGGGCAAAGAAATTGGATGATACATTGTGGGCGTACCACACAACCTTGAAAACCCCAATTGGTATGTCACCGTACAAGTTGGTGTTTGGCAAGGCATGCCACCTCCCAGTTGAGCTAGAGCATAAGGCACTTTGGGCATTGCGACAGTTAAACTTAGACATGGAGACAGCAGGTACTAACAGAATCACTGGGTTACATGAACTTGAGGAATTCAGGTTCCAGGCCTTTGAGAGTGCTGGATTATACAAAGAAAGGATGGAATTAATGCATGATAAGCACATCTTGGATCGAAACTTCAAACACACAGATATAGTGTTGTTATACAACTCAAGATTGAGATTGTTCCCAGGTAAGTTAAAGTCACGATGGTTAGGACCCTTCAGAGTGGTGCAATTGTTCTTAAGTGGAGCTATAGAGATTGAATCAGAAGATGGGACAAATAAGTTCACAGTAAATGGGCAAAGGTTGAAACATTACCTTGGAATGGCTGAAGAAAAAAGGGATAGAGTAGTAATCACTTTGGAAGAGACCCAGTACGTGAATGAGGAGTGATGATCAAATGCTTATGTCATGTCGCGACGTTAAATCAGGCGCTGTGTGGGAGGCAACCCACGAGTGTTATTGTTAGTGTGTTAAAAAAAAACCAGCACCGCAACCGCGGTAAACCGCGGTGGAAGGCAAACATTCTGCCTCGAATGTTTCATCTCACCGTGACCACGGTGGACCGCGGTAAACTGCGGTGAGGCGTAAACTTTCTGCCTCAAGATTTTAAACCCACCGCGGCCGCGGTGGACCACGGTGGGTACCAGGTATTTTTTTTTTGCGTTTTTCTTTTCTCTTTTCTTCCTCTTTTAATTTCAAAACCCAAACCCCCCTCTTAAACCCAAAATACCCGATCCCCTCCCCCAGATTTTCAATCTCTCCCTCTCTCTGAACCCTAACCACCCAAATACTCTCTTCTTTTTCTTCTTCTTCTTCTTCTTCTTCCCTCATACTAACATCCCCCACCTCCATTCCTCTCACCCATTCTTCAACTACGGTATGTTCCTCACCTCTTCCCTATTTTTTCTTTGGTATTGTGTTGTAATTTATGTAGTTTTATATTGTGTTGGGATGTAATTGTTGGTATATTCGTTTTCTTCTTGTTTTTGCTTTTAAATTTCGTTTTTGAGTTTGATTGGTGAAGGGGCTGTGCATTGCATATTTGAAAAGGTGTTTATTGGTGGGTGATTGAATGAAGCAAGTGTGGGGTGTGTTGGTGTAGTAGTATACTTGATTGGGGAGGAGCTTTGATGTACCCATGAGGGCTATATGTGTTTGGATAGTGCCCTGCTCACAAGGTGTTTGGGAAATTGCCCCAATGGAGATATAAAGAGCTATTGTGACATGGTTATGGTGAAATCTGAGTAACCATCCATAGTCACATATTTTGCGCACTCACTAATAGGTGTTTTGTTGTATGACAGGTACAATGAGGTCTTCCAGGAAGAGACGAAGCATCGGACCCTCCACTAGCGGACCAAGAGGCTCCTCACGAGCTAAGGGCCAAGCCAGTGCACCTCAGTTCGATAGCACTCGGTTTGTATCCAAATCAGCAGAGGATAGGTACAACCAGAAAGCAGCTAAGAAGTTGCAACCTGAGGTGCACATTGATCGAATGGCTTTGGAGGTGGAATGCCCCAATATGTTTAATGAGCTGAGGTGGTGTCAGCTGGACATCTTCTTCGAGGTACCAGAGGAGGCTAATGTTCAACTAGTAAGAAAGTTCTATGCGAACTTGCCAGAACATGAGAATGGGGTTGTGACGGTCCACAACACCCTGGTAAATGCATCCCTCGACACCATCCACAGGGTATACAGGCTGCCAGTGTTTAGGGGTGAATTTGATCCTTATCGTACTTTTAGCGGTACACGAGCCTTGTGGGGAACTCTTATCGATACTATCTATGTGCCGAATGGAGAACACCTATGTATCAAGCACATGATTACTCTCAACTCCCACTGTCTGAATTAGGAGGCTAAGTGTTGGCTCACTATTATCAACAGTCGATTGTTGCCATCCAGCAACACGACAGATATTAATCTACCACGGGCGTTCGCAATCTACTGTTTCATGTCCCATAGTGATTTTGATGTGGCTCGGCTTATCCATGAAGAGATGTTCATTAGATCACCTAAGCTAACCAAGGGCCACTACTTCCCTTCACTGATCACCTGGCTGTGCCGTATTGCTCGAGTCCCTGAAGACCCTCGGGTTGATGGGAGATTGCCACTAAAAGCCCCGTTCCGGGCGAAAAATTGGAATTGGACGAGAGCCGGTGGTGAATGTTGATGACTCTGATGATGATTCAGCTGATGATGATGATGATGATGATGATGAGGTAGCTGCGATTCCTCCTTCTCCGAGAGTTGATGTGGCAGGCCCATCACAGCCACGCCGGAGCACCCGTATGACAGCTTTGGAGTAGGATATGGCTGGGTTGCATACCTCGGTCACTAATTTGGGTACCCGTGTTGATGCGGTGGCTGAAAGGCAAGTGAAGTTGGAGAAGAAAT